AAACATTTGATGCTTTTGTTTGGAAGAATCTGATCTCTCACTTGCTTCCCCATTCTGGAGGGGCAGGGACCTCCCCCAGATTCCGGCACCCAGGAGGCCTCTGGGAGGGTCCTCCCTGCTTGGAGCTTTAGGAAGGACTCAGTGTTCCCTGTCCCTGGAGAGTTCCCTGGAATCCTTCCCCACAGGGCCTGCAGGCGCCTGAGCTTGCCCAAGGCCCCTTCTTGGGGTGTTTCAACACTGGAAAGAGGCAGCAGTTCCCTTCTGCCTTGGTCCCTGCTGCTCAGGCCACTTGCTTTGGCTTCTGACATTTTTGTCATTCCAGCCCCTCTGGCAGGGCTTATCCGGGAATCCACACCGCTTGCTTCCTGCCGCCCTGTGATTGACTTGGCCACACTGCTGATCCAGGGGCTCCAGAGGTCTTGGCCCGCTTGGGTACCCGGTTCTGGGGTGGTGCGATCCTAGCTGCTACAGGATTTGCCAGCCTCTTCCCTTCTTGTTCTGTGCCTGCTGATGACAATTTGCGCAAACTGTGGAACACAACAGGTGTGCCTTCTGGGCAGGCAGCTGAGCAGGTGACAGAGGCTTATACCAGCAGAGATCAGTTTAAGGCCACATCTAAGGAATCTTTTCTGGTCTCTTGAAGTGAATCTGGCTCCTTTGTTTAATGCACTCAGAGCAGCTCTCTTACTGAGAGCCTCAGTAAACCTCATAATGAGTGGGTGGATAACGGGTGAGTGGTTGTCTACCTGGCACTGTGAGTTCTGTGAGGGCGGGGATCTGGGCTGTCTTGGAGGGTACTGTGTCTCTGAATTCTTGCCTGGATCATTGCGAACACTCAGGAAGGAAGGGATTATCCACTTTGCAAGCTATACTGGTTTCCTGCTATAATAGATGACCAGGAATTTAGTGGCTTGAAACAACACACATTTGTTCTCCTACAGTTCTTGAGGTAAAAAATGCAAAATAAACAAAACAAAACAAAACAAAAGAAATGCAAAGTAGATCTCACTGAGCTAACATACAGGCTACCATCAATCTTTGGGGCTGGCAGTTCGGGAGGCTTCAGGGGAGAAGCCAGTTCCTTCCTTTTCCAGCGTCTCAGGCCTGCCTGTGTCCTCGGTGTAGTTTCCTCCTCCATCTTCAAAGGTCATTTCTCCAACATGTCTTTCTCCATCTCTCTGATTCTGACCGTCCCACCTTCCTCTGAGAAGGGCCCTTGAGGTTAGGCTGGGCTCCCCCGCCAGCCCGTAATCCAGGATAAGCTTCTCCATCTCAAAGCCCTTAATTTAACCACACCTGCGAAAGTCCTTTCACGATGGGAGATAACATCCTCACAGGTCCCAGGGACAAGGATGGGGACATCCTTGGGGGGGAGACCATTATTTAGTCTAATATACAAATATATATGAAAAGGGAAAGGGGTACAAGATACTGGGGCCACTGATCCTAGACACCAAGTAGCGTGAAAAGCGAGAATGCTTAGGGCAGCAAAATGAGAGTGTGGCCTTCCCACCAGAATTCTTATGTAGGCTGTGAGGGAGGGATTTAACTAAAGGTTTTTGTAAGTCTCTCTCATGCTTTTATTGACTAATCCATCCTTCGCTGCCAGTTTGAAATGCCACTTCTATCATATGCTAAATTTCCCTATATGTATGAGCTTTTTTCTGAACTCTTTTTTTTTTTGGAACCAGGATCGAACTCAGGACCTTGCACTTGTGAGGCAGGTGGCAGCACCACTGAGCTAAATCCCGGGCCCTCTTTCTCTGAACCCTTAATTTCTACTGACCTGTTTATTTTATGTGATACAAAACCATGCCCACTTCTTCTCCTCCTCCTCCCCACCCCTCCTCTCCTTCTCCTTCTCCTTCTGTTCTGGGGATTGAATCAGGGCCTTGTACATATTAGGCATGTACTCTATCCCTGAGCTATACCTCTAGTCCAGGCCACACTATTTTAATTACTATATATTTATCATGTGTCATGTTAACTGAGAGAACAATTCTTCATTACTGTTTCTCTTTATAAAAAATATTCTCCAGGTGTGGTGGCGCACGCCTTTAATCCCAGCACTCGGGAGGCTGAGACAGGAGGATCGCTGTGAGTTCGAGACCAGCCTGGGCTACACAGTGAATTCCAGGTCAGTCTCAACTACATAGTTGAGACCCTGTCTCAAAAAAAAAAAATCTTTTTTTTTTTCTAGTACCAGGGATTGAACTTGGGTCTTTGCACTATGAGGCAGGCGGTGGAACCACTGAGCTAAATCCCCGGCCCTTATAAAAAATATTCTTATCTGTTCTTGTATAATTTCCTATTGGGTGAATTTTGGAATCGTCTTTTCTTGTTCTATGAAAATGTTTTGGGGATTTTGATCAAGCTGTGTAAATTAATGGATCAATAGAATTACATGCTTCTTATGATATTTTTCCAAGAAAAAGGTCTATGCTTCTCCTTGTAAAGTTTAGACATTTTATAGTTTTTAATTGTTATCATGTGTGGGCTATTTTGTACCTTGAGATTTGTAAATATTTATGGTTGGTAAATGGGAAAGCTATTAATTTGGGGCATCTTAATCTTGTCTCGATTACCTTCAAGAACTTTAAAAAAATTATTTTAAGGGCCAGGATGTAGCTCAGTGGCACCTGCCATGCCTGCCTGGCAAGTACAATGTCTTGAGTTTGGTCCCTGGTACCGAAAAAAAAAATTATTTTAATGGTTTTCCAGGTAGTACTCTAGGAGTTTTGAGATAGAGAATGTTATAGTCAGTCTCCCCATAGGTGTGTGAGTGCATGTGCATGAATCTGTGTGGTCATGGTCAGAGTCAAAACTCCTTTTGGTCATAGAACCAGAGGGTAGAATAGTAGTTTCCAGGGGCCGTAGTGATATGGGGAGATATTGGTCAGAGAAAACAAAGATTTGGCTACATAAGAAGAGTAAGTTTAGAAATTTTCTGAATAGGAAAGTGACTATAGTTAACAATATTGCATCGTGTACTTGAAGTTTTGCTGAAAGGATAGCTCTTAAGTATTCTTACCAAGCTGGGCATAGTAGCACATACCAGTAATCCCAGCATTCTGGGAGGCTGAGGCAGGAGAATTGCAAGTTTGAAGCAAGTCTGGGCACCTTAGTGAGTTAGGAGATCCTGCCTCAAAATAAAACAATAAAAAGGTCTGGGAATGTAGCTCAGTGTGAAGACCCTAAGTTCAATCCCCAATCCCTACCCCCCGATAAAGGAAAAGATACAAGAAGAAAAGAAATAAATACAATGGAGACTGTATCAGTCAGCTTCATGCCACTGCAATGAAACATGTGACACAGGCTGCTCATGCGGTAAAGAGAGGTTTCTTTTGCCTCATGGTTCGGGTAGTCCAAGTCCTCCAGGGAGGGTGACACCTTGTGGTGGGGGTACATGTCACAGCCCTCAGTCCATCTCCAGCCGGGTAGCTGAGAGAGAGTGATGGGGTCCCTCAGGCTCCTTTGGGGGCATGGCCCCAATTACACAAGGACCTCCTGCCAGGCCTCACTTCTTAGTCTTAGGGTCCACAGCCCCTCCCAGCCCACTGGGTCTTCACATTCGGACCTCTTGGGGACACTGTTCACCATTACAGTAACCGCAGGAGGAGATGTGTATGATAATTAGCTTGATTGTGGTGATCGCTTCATAGCACATATGTCTGTTAAAATATGAAGTTGCACGTCTTAGATATATACTGTTTTTATTTTAAAAATTTATTTACTTTCAGTACTGGGGATTGAACCCAGAGTTTTCACACTGAGCTACATTCCCAACCCTTTTATATTTTTCACTTTGAGACAGGGTCTCCCTGAATCCCTAAGTCATTCAGGTGGGCTTGAACTTCTGATCTTCCTGCCTCAGCCTCCCAGTATCCCGGGATTGTAGGCCTGTGCCTCCATGCCTTGCATTAAATAGATACAATTTTCATTGGTTAGTTATACTGCAATAAAACTGGGGAATAAAAGATAAAAAACTATCTAAGCTGGAAGAAAGGGGCTTTATCATTTTTTGCAAAGGGTTCTGGAGGTGGAGGGCTTTAAAGTAGGGGAAAGAGGCCCTGGGAAGGGGATGGTGGTTTGACCCCACCTACTGCCATCCTTCCTGCCTTCCCCCTCTATTCTTTATTCACCCTGAGACAGGTGGGTGGTGTGGGAAGCCAAGACATGGTTAAGGACAAAGCTACCTGGACTGTATAAGCTTCCTGGTTTAGAAAGAGAATCCCACCCCCTGTGAGAGGATCCTGGGTACTTTACCTTCACTGATTGATGGATGGATAGGCGGATGATGTGGTACTGGGGATTGAACCCAGGGTATTCATCCTAAGCTACTTCCTTAATCCCCTTCCCCATTTAAAAAAATTTTTTTTTGAGACAGGATCTCACCAAGTCACTAAACTGCCTGTGATGAGATTGAATTTTCAATCCTCCCGCCTCAGCCTCCCAGAGTGCTGGTATTACAGTTGTGCACCACTATGCCCAGCTTCATATACTTGTTCTGACCCTCGGGGTCAGGAGCCCTGATCTGGTTGGCTCTGCCTGCCTGGACAGATATCCTAGGGCTGGACACAAGACAGACTCAAGCCTCCCTTACAGGTTCAATATAGCTGGACCACGTGGGACATCGCTGTGCTAACTCCCAGGCCACAGAGCCACTCAGGAGCTCAAAGAGCTGGAGTGACCAGGGCCAGCTGGGGCTCTGTCACAGGATGAGGTCCCAGCTGCTGGGTGAGCAAGGGTCCATGCCACCTTCCCGTCTGGCCATTGGCAGGAGCTGGAGGCTTGGAAGTGGTCTGTGGCTGGGCCTGAGCCTGGGACAGCTGTACACAAGGACAGCTGTCTCAGCTTCAGGACACAGGATCTGCCCTGAGATTAATAACAGAGCACAGCCGGGCCCATGGGGAGCAGAGCTGACTAGGGTTACCTCGCCAGGAAGACCGTCTGCCCGCTGACAGGGCTGGGATCTGCACGATGGATGGGCTCTGGGGGCCATGGCGGCCCAGCCAGCCAAATCCATTCCCCTGGGTGCAAACCGACTCTCCCAAGAGCCTCCCGCTTTCCGCTGGACCCTGAGCTCCAGGAATTATGTGAAGAGTCAGGAATGGAAACCAAATGTTGGTGTCAGGTAGAGAAAGCCGAGGGACGGTCTGTGCCCCAGCACATCTGGGAGCCGCAGGACTCAGCTTCTGCAGCCAGCATAGATATTCAAGTGAAAGGAGCCTCTCATGTTCCCTTTAACAAAAAGTGTATTTTCCCAGATTATATTCATTATAGACAATCTTGAAAATAAAGTGGAAAGAAAGAAATCATTTATCATTCCATTTTGTAAAAGATTTTGAACTTTAAAATTTAAAAAACTATTTTGTTTTCTGAGACAGAGTTTTAATATGAAGCCCAGGCTGGCCTCGAATGTGTGGCACTTCTCCTGCCTCAGCCTCCTGAGTGCAGGGATTGCAGGTGTGCATTATCACACTTGGCTTGAATTTTAAAACTTTGAACTCAGGTCCTTGCATTATTGAGGCAGGCGGCGGAACCACTGAGCTAAAGCCCCAGCCCTTAAAACTTTTTATTGTGGTAAAATATACATAACAAAATGTGCCATCCTAAAGCATTTCTACTTGTGTAGTTGAGCATGAAATACATTTCCATTGTCCTCCAACCATCTGGCCATTCATCTCCGGAACTCTTTTTCATCTTGCAAAACGGAAGCCCTGTAACTGTTCAATTCTATTCCCACCCCCAGCTCCTGGAGCAACCACGGTTCTTTCTGTTTCTGGGAATCTGACTACTGTGGGGAGCTCACCGAGGAGGAACATACGGATTTGTCATGTGGCTCATGGCACTGAGCAGAATGTTCTCAAGTTGCATCCATGCTGTAACCTTTGAGAAATACGTATGATATGAACATAGCTCATCTGCTCCTGGGCACTCGGGCTGCTCCCACCTTTTGACTGCTGTGATTATTGCCTAAAATCAGGAGTGTACAAACGTCTTTTCTTCCCTTGGGTAGTCAGAGGAGGACTCGCTGGATCATAGGAAAATTCTGCATGTAATTTTGGAGCAGACCCTGTGTTATTTTCCATAGAAGATAAACATTTTACATTTCCACCAACATTGCACAATGGTTCCAGTCTCCACATTAATGACAATTCTTGTTATTTTCTGTCTTTATTTTTATTTTACTTTTTTTGCTATACTGGCAATTGAAGCCAGGGCACCTTACCAATGAGCTACATTCCCAGCCCTACCTTTTAATTTTTTTATTTTGAAACCGAGTCTTACTAAGTTGCCTGTGCTGCTGTCTTGGAACTTGCAATGCTCCTGTCTCAGCCTCCTGAGTAGCTGGGATTACAGGTGTGTATCACCATGCCTGGCTTTATTTACCTATTTACTTTTAATAGTAGCCAACTAATGGGTGAAAGATGGTATTTCATTGCGAGTTTTATTTGCATTTCCCTAGCAATTGTGGTGTTGAGTATTTTTTCGTGTGCTTGTTGGCTATGTACGTATCTTCTTGGAGAAATGTCTATTAAATTCTTTGCCCTGTTTTGAATTTGCTTGTTTGTTTTGTTGTTGTTAAACTAGAAATTCTGTATTATTTCCGGCAATTAACCCTGTATCAGATACGTGATTTGCAAATATTTTTTCTCATTCTGTGAGCTGCCTTTTGACTGTTAATTGTCTTTTGATGCTCGGATGTTTTTAATTCACTTGTAATTCAATTTATCCATTTTCCTGTTATTGTCTGTGATTTTGGTGTCATAGCCAAGAAATCACTGCCAAATCCAATGTCATGAAGATTTCCCCCTATGATTTCTTCTCAGAGTTTTATACTTTTAGGCCCTGGGTTTTACATTTAGATCTTTAATTCATTTTGAGTTAGTCTTTTCTTTTTTTCTTTCCAGTATTGGGGATTGGACCCATGGCCTTAGTACTAAGCTACAATCCCCAGCCTTTTTTATATTTTTTATTTTGGGACAGAGTAACAATAACATAGTGGCTTCTCCAAGTAGTTCAGTTGCCCAGGCTAAGCTTGAATTTATGATTCTCCTGCCTCAGCCTCCACACTTGGCTTAAATAGTTTTTATATATGGTATAAATGGTATAAGGTAAGTATCCAGTTTCATTCTTTTGCATGTGGAAATGACATTTTCTCAACACTCTTTGTTGAAAAGTTTTATAGTTTATGTCTGAGGAGCAAAAACTGTCTGCATGTGGGCATATTTCATTTTGGTCTTTGTGCTTATTTATTGTTTCTGCACAGTTAGGATAGCACCTACACAAAAGAGGAAGGTCAGGATACTGAGTCTTGGCTCTTGTCTTTTCCACTGGCCCTATTTCCCCAGGAGTCTTCAAATAGCTGCCTCCATTCATTCTGTAGATACTTACAGATGGCTATGGTTTCCCAGGGACCCCGCCCACTGCTGAGTGCACAGGTATCTCAAACAGGGGTACCACCATCAAAGTCTGTGGAGGAGAATAAATGAGCAATTAACGTATGAAGTCTGGAATTACAAAGATACGGTGTTAGATATTGTTTGGATCTGAATGCCCCTTCTAAGTCCGTATGATAGAGGGCTGGTTGCCACTTTGTGGTGCTACTGGGAGGTAGTGCAACCTTTAAGAGGTGGGGCCCAGTAGGAGGAAGTAAAGTCATTGGGGGCGTGGCCTTGAAGGATCCTGACCTCTTCCTCTCTCTTTGCTTCCTGGCTGCTAAGAGGTGAGCAGCTTCCTTAACCATGAGCACCTTGCCATGATTACTGCCTCTCCGCATGCCATCACAGCAACAGGGCTTAGAGACTGTGGACTGAAACCTCTGAAAGTGTGCACCAACACAAACCATTCCTTCTTTCAAGTCGATTGTCTCAGGTATGTTGTTACCGTGATGGAAACATGGCTGACACACAAAAGGATATGAGGAAACAGAGGCAGGAGCAAGGTGTCATTTCTACATAAAGGTGAAAGTGAAATGTAAACATCATCTTTAAAGCACATGATTTTCTCCTTACGAGGTCATATATTTAAATTTTGAGTTTCACTTTTTAATTTTTATAAAAGTTACACATGCACGTAATAAAACAGATCGACCAGGCTTAAAATAATGAATAACAATCAGCTACTGTTCACCTTTTCTCTCCTGATTCTCAGAGACAACCCCTCCAATTCTTAACTTTTTATATTTTTGGTACTTGGCTTCATGTCTCTGAAGCAGAGTTATCTTGTTACACCTTGATTGTTCTGTTTTATGTGAGAGATGAGGGTGGATTATTACCCCTACACTGCTATTGTCTTCCCACACATTTCCTGTTTTCTTCTTTTCCCAACACACTTCATTTTTATCACAATTCTAGTTAGTTCAATACTCAAGATTTACCATCTATCTTAGTGAAAGCTGCGCTGTACAGTTTACTATGATTTTTCCTTTTCCTTTCCATCTTTATTTTACTGTGCTTGTTTCTGTTCACCTAATTTTCTGTGGGGTTATTCTAATTCATCTCCAAATTCTTCCCCAGTTTTGGAGTAGTTGCTTCCCAAACCTCTGTCTGCTGAGAGATTTCAGCTGACTGAAGTGAGATCTACAATCTACAATCTTGGTCAACATCCTGAGGATTTTCTTCACCCCAGGTCTCTCCCTTGTGTTAGAACCCCTCTCTGTTGCATGTCACAGCCACTTTTTTGTTTTGTTTTGTTTACTACCTCGTTGTGATGAAGCACATCCTTCAGTAGCTTTCTGAGAAGGTTAAGAACTATGCCCAAGCCAAGGATGAGCCAAGGTCCCTAAGAATCCATCTTCTGTTAGTTTCTTCCTTTTAGGAATTCCACTCCTTTCTCTTCAATTTAGTCATAAAATAATGTGTGTATCCTTTTCATTGATGCTATCTTAACCAGCATCATTAATTGGGCCACCCAGGAAAAGTTTCATGAACAAGATTAGGGTGGGGGAAGATGAACACCTGGGTCTTCCTCCAGAGGCCCCAGGGTAGGCAGATCATGTTTAGAGAATTCAGACTCAAATTCTGTGCGAGCCTATCGAGTGCTGGCAGTGTGGGGGACTGAGGTACATGCTACACGGTCCTTGAGCTCCTGGACCACACACCCCTGGGAGCAAAGACCCCAAATCATCTGAGGCTGCAAACCTCAGCCCAGTCACAGGTACAGGCAGCTTAGGAGAGAAACAAGAGACAAATCTGTGAACCTGTGAGCCAGGGCCTGACCCCCCTGTACACTAGGAAACTGAGGCATTTGTTCTGCTCCAGATAGGGGACCGGCCTGCAGTGAGGTTGTTGTCTACACTGTTCTTGTCAAAACCACTTTTTGGAGTCTTTTTCTTTCTCCCAGTACTGGGGATTGAATCCAAGGCCTTTGCCCTTAGTTACATCTCTAGCCTTTTTACTTTGAGACAGGGTCAAGGTTTCTCTAAGTCACTAAATTAATTGCCCAGGCTGGGCTTGAACTTTTGATCCTCCTGCCTCGGCCTTCCAGAGTGCTAGGGTTACAGGTGTGCACCACCTTCCCCAGCTCGGAGTCACTTTTAAAGAAGCTCCAGGCTTCTGGGTTGGTGACCATGTCCAGGTGCTGGGACAGTGGCATGCCCAGAGAGGGCTGGGAGCTTCGGGCCACCCCCGTGGCACCCCCTGCCTCGCCGTCTGGACACTTTAGTCTCTGCCCAAGTCCTTTCTAAAGTTCTCACTGCAAAAATCAAACAAAGAGAATCAATAAAGGCCACCAGTTTTAGGGATTCTTGAGTCTCCCTTTAAAGCAGAAGTGGATGGAGAAGGAGACTTTTCCAGAAAGTTCCTCAGGGGATCCTTTATGGACAAACCTGGAGAGGGAGGTGGCAGGGATCAGCATCCATTCTTTAAGGCTGAGAAACTGGCTGCGAGCTCCCCACAGACCCCCAGAATCCTGTACCCCCCGCCCATGACAGGGTCTCCCCCTCAGTCTCAGCTTTGGCCTGTGCCGTTTGCCCCCCACCTGTCGCTCTGGCCTGGCCTGCTAACTAAACCCTTCTGTGCCCAGGCTCTGCACACTGCCTGGCTGTGGTAACTAAGGGACCCTTGAAGGAGACAGAGCAGCAGAAGGAAGGGGGATGGGCCGAGGCCACAGCCCTCAGGCCTGAGCAGA